AAAAAAAAAAAAAAGAAATCTGAAAATAGTTCTGAGCAAACAGTTCATTGTTTTGTCCGTTACTGTTTCTCTGGTTTTCCCCAAAGGAGAAGCTCCTTTGGTTTTGTCCTTGTTACTGGTTCCTTTTCTCACCAGTTCCTGCCACTCTGCCCTCAAATTACTCACTGCTTACTGTAATTCATATAGCTTTCCAAGAATAAGCAAGGTGAGAAGATCCCTATACTTCAGTGGCTTTGTCGGCTCTAAGGCACTTAAATATGTGTCTTCTGTTTAATGACTGTTGGAATTTTTTCTGCATAGTATTACAGAGAGCTCATTAGCAAATGGCATGTGTGAAATCTCTAAATAGTACAAAATGCCAGTGCCATCTGTATAGTTTGGATAGTCTGGTCTGTCACGAGGAGCCTAGCATGATTTTGTCCATATTTCTGGGGAAAGATATACAAGGGTATTTGAGATTGCAAAGCCTCTGTGAAACTGAGCAAGTTTGAAGAATCGATTTCATACACTGTGTTGCCAGGTCTCCATATTTGATCACTGTTGCCGTACCATGATGCAGTCATGTCACCTATTTTAGAGCTGTTCTCATGATTATGCTATTACATTTACCCCATTTATTGTATTTATATTTTTAACTTATTTTAAATTTTTCACAGGAAATATATCATCAATAAAGATATTTTTCTTAATATTCAGGGAAGGATCCAAATTGAAAATGGTGCACTTACGATATCAAATCTAAATCTGACAGATTCTGGCAGATACCAGTGCATAGCTGAAAATAAACATGGTGTCATTTATTCAAGTGCAGAACTCAGGGTTGTAGGTAAGATTTTCCTTTTTCACTAAAACACAAACCTCATCCTCCCTCTCCACAACCCCTCCTCCACCTGCCTCATATTCCACCTCATCATGATCTCAAATTTAACTCAGATACTATCACTGAAATATACATTTTTGTTGACCTAATATCTTTATCTGCAGTGCTGAGGAGCTGACTCATGTGCTTCCAGAGGATTTGCAGTCCAATCATTCATTGCTTTAAAACAGAACACAACTAAATTATTCATTAGGGGAAGAGCAGAGATGGGGGCTTGGACACAAGCCTGAAGATTAAAACGGCTCACGTGGTCCGGAGGCAGCCCTGGCTCCGCACATCAGTCAGCTGCACTCACCTCCTGCACCGCGGTTCCAGCGCTCCCAGGGGAGCCGTGTCCTTTAAAAGCCATCGCCTGCTCTCGTGTGCAGCCTTTCCGGATCAAGAGGACAAGGGCTTGTCGTTCAGGCAGTGTGTGCTTGAGTCTAAAATAGTGACAGCTGTTTGAGGGAAACACTGAGCTTGTGACTGCTTTATGCACTCATACGCTTGTGCGATTTATACCTCTAACGTAGACGGATTTCAAAACTAAGCCTGTAAGAACAGTGGGACTCGTGGACATGAGTTACCTCCTTTCTGTTGTTAAGGTTACAGTCAGCAGACTGCTCCCTCAACCTTGGCCTCCTAAAATAGTGAATTTCCTTTCAAAGTTCAGTGTTAGTACAGGTAGAAGCCACGTGCCTTTTCTTAACTGTTAATTAATGAAAACTATACCCACTCCAAATGAGCTATGTTGTAATTTTATGTCATCTAACATATCTGATCTGACATGCATTCTTACATGAAACCAGTTCCTTGAGCTTTAATGAGACTGCTGATGTTCACTGCCCTCCCTGGACTTGGACAAATCCTGTACACTCACAGTCAGTAAAACGTAAAGTTAGGCATGTGCTTAACGCTCGTTGGGTTCACTGAGCTTCAGTTCAGATGAAGTCGGTGTCATCTTCCGTGCATGCTTTGTTAGGTGACGTACTCTGCACAACTGAACCGTTACTTTTGTACTAGTATAAGGAGGAGAAATGCATGATTGTCCAATAGACAATCTATTTGAACTAGCTATTTCATGGTTTTAATTATGTTTGGAATCTGAGAAGTGTCGTGTAAGTGCTAAATAGTAGTATCATTAATATAATTAAAGGTGCTTTATTTCACTATTATTGTCCCTTCGGTTTTAGCTTCTGCTCCAGATTTTTCCAAGAATCCAATGAAGAAACTGATCCAGGTTCAGATAGGCAGCACAGTTGATTTTGAATGCAAACCCAAAGCTTCCCCTAAGGCCAAATGTTCCTGGAAGAAGGGAGGTGAGCAGCTACAACAAAATGAAAGGTACCAAGTTACATTGGTGTGTTTGTTTTAATCTTACAAAAGGCTTGTTTATGTCTTTTTATGCAATAGTGTCATTTGTAGATCCAAATAGTTGTAAAGTCTCTCTGGAGTCTGTCTAGCTAGAGGGGTTGTTTGGTTGGGTTTTATTTGTCGTTGTATCTGAGCACTGAGAGTGCATACATATTGCATTCTTTAAGGTCAAGGGCCAGATTTTTTTTTCAGTTTAATGCAGAGTTTGGCCTGATTTAGAGAGAACCGGGTACTGACAGAAAAACGGAAAGGTGAAGCCTCTAGAACAGTACTAAAAGCCTTCAACAAAATATTCTGAAAATGCTGGCAAGGAGGCAAATGAGGCATATTACAGTCATGGTGATAATGTGTGTGGGGGGGTGTGTGTTAATAATTGGGAGGTCCAGAATAGCAGATGAAAACAGGAAAAGAAAATTAATATACACTTTCAGGTTCTTTTCAGGCAACCATGAACTTTATCTACCGATGGTAACGTATGTTGCCATTGCTTTAGTGTTTACATGATAGTGAGTGTGTTTTGGTGTTAGTAATTCTCAGTGGAGAGTTTGTGATACACCTATCTCTCTAGCTATTGACTTCCAACAGCATATAAACCTTTTTTTCCAGTAATAACAGTTAAAGCATTATTGAATTAGTCGTAAACTAAGATGGCATCAGTCTACTGATCAAATTGTATAATCAAACTATACAGAAGCATACCTCTCTCTGCTCTGGAGCAGCCATTTGCTTAGCATCTCTCCAACACTGAGGATTACTGCCTTTTCAAGCTTTCTGTTTTACATTTCAGTATTTGCATAGACTGAGAGTTTCAAGTAGTGAACTGGGACAGGAAAAAAACTCCTTGGATGAAAGGTATAATTAAGATAGTTACATATCTGATTTAGCATGAAACTAGACAGTTTGGTACTTAGGACATTCCAGCTGCAGCACTTCAGCACTCGGTACGGGCTGTAAAAACTCAGAGGAGCGGAATACCTGTTTGGGAGTGTAGTCTGGCCTGAGGTCAGCCTTTCTGCAGCGAGTTGCTGGAGTATCTGAGTTAGATACAGACTGCAGTCACCGGAGCGGCCACAGAAAGTCCTAAGGTTTGCCTGGGAGCAGTGAGGACAGGATGACTGCGAGTGTTCATCTTGCAGTGCTCTGGTATCACCCCGTACTGAGCAGGATAATTCAGGGGCAGTGGTGTCCCTGAAGTGTCCAAAAGTCCAGACATGAGACTGAGGAAGCTGAACACTTTGGTTTTGAAGGAAGATTGCCATGGCAATGTGTTGTGATTTTTTGAATGTATCCCTGCTCCTCTAGGACTTTGTGTTAGGTGGTCACTGGGAAGCTATTTCTGAACCAGGTGATATTCTTCTAGTCCTATTCCTGTAAAACACCACAACGTGGTTTTGTTTTGAAATTTCTAAACGCAGAAGATGCTATCATATAGATTAAAATTTTTGGATGCTGCAATTGATACCATTATTTGCACCATCATAAGGCTAGAGCTCTCTCCTTGTACCCAAAAGTTTTGGGTACTTGCTGTCATCTTGATCTGTGGAGCTCTGGCTCTTTCTCGCAGCGACCACAATAGTTTTCATGTGTTCTAATGTTCAGTGTTGTCAAATGTGGCAATTTGGCAGAAGATTAGGCATCTGTCATTATAGAGCTTGACACAATACCACAGACTCACTAGCTGGCTCCATGCCTTGCAAGCAAGCAAGCAAAATCTCATTCAAAATAACATTAGTTGGTTTTTCTTTCTACATGAAACCTCCCATCATCTTGTAATGACATAATATTATATTGATAAATAAGTCTGTACCATAGGGCCACAATGATCTATAAAACTTAAGTGAAACCTGTTGCTTTTTGATGATGCTCAATAGTTTTTATTTTTATGATCGCTTTTGTAAAGCATGTGCATAAATGCATAGTACCTGATTTCCTCCGTTTAGGAAAATTCCTAGGTTTTGTCCCCATACCATTTCCATAAAAAGGCAGGCAGGAAGAATGACATCCCATTACTGCCTGCCTCTTTTTTTTGGAGCTGCCTATCGTCAGCCTTTGGCTAACTTGTGTAGGTTCAATTCATGATAGTCAAAGCTGCCAGGCATGCCTGGACCTTGCAGGACTCCACACGTGTCCAGGAGAAGAGCATTTCAGCCACGACTTGGGCCTCGCTTTGTGAGCTTTCTGTCTGGATGGGCATCAGATCTGGTGTTAATGGTTGCTTTGGATTGCCCTCCAAAAGCAGTACCCACCAATTTCATTTGTGGTGATGGTACCAGGTTAAAGAAAGTAATGTTCAGTTTCTGAAAACATATTGAGCATACATGATGCTGCCTGCTTAGATTTATAAGCTTAAATTACGGCTTTTAGTTCTGCAAAGTGCAGGTATTTCCAAAATATGGCCCAAAGTGTCTCCTACTATATTTTTGACAGCACACTGTAAATGGCTCACAGAGGAAACATAGTAACAAGCCAATAATCCTGAATTAATGTAAATGAAGTACACTAGCCTTCAGAGAAAAGCAGAAATGAGATTCTTTGCAGAAAGCACTAGAGTTCATTACTGTGTGCTATGAATAATTGCAATTCAGGAATTTCTTGCAGTTCTACAATTCTTACAATTCAGGAAAGGGTTTCCAATTAGCAATACATTTTTCAACCATTAACTACATTTCTAATGGGGAAGTCTGTTGGGGAGGGTGTCTTTTTTAATTGTAGAAAAAGGGAGGAATGAGTTCCTGAACGGGGTAGTGCTGGCCACAGAGGTCCAGCGTGCACTTTACCTAGGAGAGGTAGGGGACACAGAATGACCTTAATGATATTTGGGGCTCAGACCTACGGTAGAGTTCAGGCTGACAGAGCACTCCTTAGGAGAGACAGAGATTGAACGTAAGATGGAGGCTGAGACTCCCCTCCCTCGCAATTGCCATTTGCTTGTCAAGAGCAAGCTGGGTCTTCAAAAAGTGCAGCAAGTTATTTTGTCTCCGTAAGTCAGTTCGTGCAAGGGAAGAACTCTTGCACTATATCCCAGGTGGATAAACACATGTATAGTTGCCCAAATTCATTTTCCCTTGACTAGTTAAAACCATATTCTTGTTGGTTTTGGTAGGTTTGCTGGGGGCGTTATGGAGTTACTCAGCGTTGTTAGAGAATGAGGACAGAGTAATGTTTTGTTTTTCATGTAAATACACAGAAGTGTTGGAGCATGTCCTCTTCTGAGGCTGTGCCAGCCCATTGCTCCAGCACTCTGGTACAGATAGCGTGGTTAGACTGTGCTAGTTGGGGCTGTACCTGAACTGGGAAGGCTTCCTGGAAGGCTTCGAAGCCAAATGTTGGCTTAGCATGAGGGTGGAACTAGTCCTTAATGTCAACTGTAAAAGTGAAAATCATAGAATCATAATGGTTGGAAGAGACCTCAAAGATCATCAAGTCCAACCGTATACCTGATGTCACATAAGATGCAGCAACATGGATAGAATTGATATGTTTGAGGAAAACTCCCATTTAAATATTAAAAATAAGGCACAAATAGTCAATTACTTTAATGTATTCTTAGTATTTTGTCATAAGAGAACTTAGATTTTGCTGGAGGTACTGACCACATTACTTTAATAAAGCCTGAAAGATTTTCATTTTGATGGCACTGTTGCTTGTATTCTTAATTTATTTTTAAATGGTACTGCATTTTCAGTATGTAGAAGATTTGGATAATGACTCAGTAAATTTTAATTAAATGAGCTGAATACGATATGTCTTGTGGAGGGAAGAAAATACAATTCAAAATGGATTCATGAGCTCTGGGCTGAGAAATCGTTCAATGATGAAGAATACAATCTTGCTTCTTGTTAGTTTTGCAAAGTATGTGATTTTTGTTAGGATATCTTGAATAGAGAGCTAGGCAGTAAAGAGCAGTGGAATGCAGAGAGAAGCGAAAGCCTAGGAGTCACTGCAGAACCTGCAGAAGGAAAGACAGAAAATGGGAATTTAATTAATTGGGTACTGAAGGAAGAAATGCTTCCCACCAGAATGCAGTTTTGGACCTTTGAAATAAATAATTTTGGGTGATGTAATGAGCATAATAATCAAGAATTAGCAAGAATTCACTTTTGTTTAATGACTGCCAGATGAGGTACTGAGGGCACCTGATTAGCTGGCACAGGTCAATTTTCACCCTGTATTATGGTTATAGTGTGTACAACCACAATGGGAGCAGCTTGTACTTACTCAGGCTGTTCTTTGCCAACCGTCTCATATTATAAGGCCTTAAAAAAATACCTCCAAAGTACATTTTATCTGCAGTCATATTAAGCCACAACTAGGTTTTGTTTATTCTACGTTAATCTGGAGAAGTTTCTACTGATAGCAGATTGTACTCCCCAGGGTCTCCAGGCAGAGAGAGCAGAGGACACAAACCATAGTTGCCTTCATGTACGTTCTTCTGTGTTGAAAAGCTGGCCTAAGACACCTCCATCTCCAGATGGATGAACTTTTATTTTTCTTTTATCCTCCAAAGAAAAGGAGGATTAGACATTTAACCAAGGTTAAATTCACTTGCTACTAGTTTAACTCATCAAAAACAGAAGACATACCAAAACATGCCGCAACCTAGATAATCCCTTTAAAGATTCCTTTAAATGTTTTATGTACACATATGATTTTTAATTGATGTACAGTTCTAGACAGGTGCTGCACATTGGCTGTAGTGGGTCCTGTGCTCCTGGCTGAAATACCTGACTAGAAACGGATTAATGCAAGGGATTTTGCGATCATGCAGAGCAGTGTTTCACCTGTAAACAAATCCACCTTTATTCCTAGATGTTTCTAGATTTACCAAGACTAGAAAAAGACAAAAAGATGCTGCAAACTTTAACTTCACTGAAAGAACATTCCAGTGCAATTCTCTTTAAAAAAATCCACTTTTAGCATCTTTAATTGTGGCAAAATAATGTCAAATTAAGGGGGAAAGAAAAGAGGAGAAATAATTCCTGATAAAATGTTGCATGATTCTTAGAAGTACCAGTTAGTGATTTTATCTTCCCTACAGTTTGAATTAAGTATTTTTATTTCATTTTGTGTTACAGTTTGAAATGCTGTGATGTGGAAAGTAATGCATTTACTTACCAGTACTTCAATAGGAGCGCTTTTTTTTTTTGCTGACTTTCGTGTCATTTTATCTGGTTTAATTTAGTTGGAATTTGATTGATATATAAAAAGCCAGTCTTGACCCACTTTTCCACTGTTCCTTTGTACTGAATTGTTCCAAACTGGAAAACAGTATGTTTGTGTTTATTATCATATCAATAAGGATCTAAAATAGTTGGCTTTTCTGCTGAATAATCTGACAGAAAGGCAGCGATTACTTAGTTGGATTATGACTGTTATTCTAGTAATACAGCATTGTCACGGGAAGATGAATGCATTTGCATTCACAGTTTCATTAATGACACCAAGTTTCAAGTGGCAGCCTTGTGGTCTTGGATCCTGAGGCACGCTCTGGCGCTTAGTTGTGTGTGTGGTTGCGTTGCACCAACAATTCAATTTGACAGGATTTTGATGAGTAAGGTAGTACTATAAAAACCTATAGATAAGACTGTCCCGGTATTATCCCCGGTAGGTATGGGGATAGTGAATGCAGAATAGCTTGAATACTCTTACGTTACAGATACTGAAGTTGACAGATCTTAGATTGGCATCCTGGAGCACCACTTGGTCTCTAGTCCCAGGTGCTATTTGTTTCAGTGTCCGTAAATATCAAAATTTGATGCAATTTGTAACAATAGTAAAATAATTTATCAGTATGAGAAGTACATGCACTCATTTCTTGGTTGGATTTCTCCATGGTGGGTTATGACTAAGACGAGTAGTAACAAATTATAATGTCATGAATAGAGATTGACATACCGGGCAGGATTAACAGAGACTGTAACCCCACGGAAGTCCCTCAGCTGCATGGAAGATCTGTAATGCCAAATACGTGGTCCCAGTTTGGGTGGGGCAGGAAGACTCCGATAGTTTTACCAACACGGGACTAGTGTCAGGAACTCTGACATCCTGAACTTGGTTAATCCCTCTCCCCGTTCTGTTGACTTCAGTCAAAGAGCATGGGCATGAGTTAAGACATTTGCCTGTTGTAGGTTTGTTTAGTTGCAGGGTTTTTATGCCATCCCTTTGACTATTGGAAAAAAAGAATCTTCTCAAAGATTAATCTCCCACAATTTAGCTCAAGAGTTAGAGATGATGATTTTGTCAATGATGTTTTGATCTGATGACCAAACGGGTCCTAAATCAGTCTCTAGTTGTGCAAATGGATATGTGCCAAAGCATTACTCCCACCAATTATCTCTTTTACAGGGCTAAAAGTTTCTGCCAGTGCATCAAAAGTGTGCAAGTTGTTGAAAATGGAATTCACTTTGAAAATTGGCCTTCAGCAAAATGTATTGGAAAAACACTTGTAGATACAGGGAATGCCAAAGATTGTGTTATTTTTTTGTGTTGGAGATCTAGATCACTTCCTGGCAGCAGGCCAGCCATAGTACACGTGTTTTATCACAGTGCGTGAATATCTAATAATTTTAAGTATACTAAAAGGTTCAGTTTGTCTAATGTTTCTGCAAGAGGGGTAGAGCTATTTCTGGGTTTAGTGTTTTCATAGGCTCTGTGCTGCATTTACTGCTTTGTAATTGAAAAAGTAAAGTGTTTCTCTTTTTAATTTAGCAGTAAAGATTTTATTTTGACAATAATTTTCTCTAGAATTGATTTGTTGGTTATTTGGGGTTTTTTTAATTCTGGAAAAAAAAAAACTTGGTTCTTAATTATGTCTTGGTTTTAATAAGCCTGTTGCTTAATTATTTTAGGCAAACTAGACTTGCAAATAGCTCAGAGCACTCTTATTTGTTTTAATTAAACAATAGACATTTTCTGGTTTATACCCTGATCCTACTTTTTCCTTTGTTTGATCTCGGCCTTTGTCAACACTGCTGGGTTTTTATTTGGTTTTGCATTTTTTTCCTACTGAAAGCTGCTTCAAAGCAGATGATGCAATACAAGCCTACGTAAAACATACAGATAGATGGAAAGTCCAACAACTCAATAGCTTGCTTGCAACCATGATTGATATATTTTAACACCTTTTATTGATGTCATTATAATTACCTATAAAATGTATTCATCATGTCTTTAACACATTTAAAATACCTATAAACCATATGGTAAGATTTAATTAATCATAAATGTTCCATCTAATATAAAGCGCAGCCAAATATTACTTACGCATTTTCCAAAACAAGTTAATAAGCCTCAGGGAGGTGAAGCAGCACATTCGCCTTGTGAGTACGCTTCAAACGTCACCACATTGGCTTGGGTACCTCAGTATACTTTGGAGGATTCAAAGATGATTTCTTCCAAATGTAAACTGATTAAACTGTCTGTCTATTTATAACTCACTCTCTCTCCCAAATAAGATGCTTTTGCCTGTCGATCTAACAGGGTGACTTGTTAGCGCTTGTAATTTGCATCTGTTAATTCCATTATTGTATCACCTTTGCCCAAAGGAAATGTACCTCAGCTACAGCATTGAGTGTTGCAACACCTTTTTTTTTAAGAAAATATAAAATGCAATTCAAAATAATTAAGAAATACAATTCAAACTTGTGCTTATTTCTAGAGTGTGTTTCATTGTAAAGAGCAGCACAGCTGTGGAAGGAATCCAGACTCCTGCTTTCAGACATTTAAAATGCAGTTTCCAAGTGGACTTGAGAAGTAGGTGAACTTGCTGTTAAGGGAAAGGAGCAGCGTAACTACAGAGCCATGATAGCCTCCCACCGCCGTGGTCTGTGGTTAGCAAACACGGTTTTGGAGGATCAGAGACGTTAAGGGGGAAGGATAAGATCAGTGAATCCATCACACTCCAGAGTCATGTTCTTGCTGCCTTTATTTACCAACTTAATTATTCTCTGAAATATGGATTCAGCTGGATTGCTTTTAAAGCAAAATACCATTGTAACACTGTATTATTTATAATATAAATCACTATAAATAATTAACAACAGTGCAGCACACAGAAGTGTATACCTTTTATGGGCCAACTTTTATTTTCGCAATGCAATTAAATCTTAGGTGGTGCATTCATCGGGTATGTCTTAGCCGTGCCTGCCTTCAGTCCTAAGAGTCTTTACGGGCTTGCCCTGCAGCCAGTGCTGCAGTTTCGAGCTTGCATTATCCTTCATCAGCTACCGTAGCACACGGGGAGCTTCACATGGAGAATTGCTCGCGCTGAGCTGTTAGTTACCGTGTGTGAATGCCAGAAGAGCAAGGAACCGGTTTTTCCAAGTGAGCATCCTGCTTATCCCACGCTTGGGACAAGTTTTGAGAAGAAAGGCAGTGATCCCAATTCCCACCTAACACAGCGAACTTCCCCATCTCCTTTTTGTAATATGTATTTAACTATAGAGAACTGAATCTAAGTTGGGACAAATGATGGAGATCGATTGATACTAATTGGCCTCAAGTATGTTAAAAATAAAAAGAGCAGCAGGGGTGTGTATTTAATTATTTTTGTACTGAATAAAGAAGCAGTTAATATTGAAGTACATGCAAATGAGAAGGCAAAATCGTCATGACTCTTCTGTGAAAGGGGAAAGAGCAGTGTTAAGTTCCATGACATTTGCTGCCTTCTCAGCTGATACTTACTCTGACAACTGTGTAAGACTCCAGCTAATGCGGTTAGAGGTTCGCCTGGAGTGTTAATGTTGTTTGCTGTTCGGTTGATTCTGTATAGCTAGATGTGGGTGGCTGGGGCATTTCCAAAATGCCTTCTAGCTGAGGTGCTTAGGGAACCGACAGATTAGCCTCGCTGTGATTCATTTGGTGCCTTTGGAATGGATTGTTGTGATCTGAGAGAGAAGCTCTGAAGCTCCTTTGCCTTAGATGTATCAGGAAAATGTTTACTTTTTTGTTAATTATTCTGGACATTTTTATACACAGTTACTTATATAGCTACTCCAGGTTATCACAGGGAAGACGGCCCTTCATCTAAGGATATGACAGGTGGGAAAGAGGGAGTCAAATTAACCTTACCTTTACATCCCTCCAGTGCTGTTGTCTAGGATGTCATCTCCGCTGTTGTGATGCTGGTGCTCTTCTGTCTATGTTAGTACTGTGGGTCTTCTTTTGTCCACAACTTTTATAAGCATCTTTCTGGTTTGTTCTGTGCTATCTGCCCATTATTTTCCCAAAAATCCTTCCCCAAAGCATACCTTTACCCTGCCTGCAGGTCACTCCCGCTCAGCACAGGTGATAAACTCAGACAGAAGTCTGCAACAGTGTGAAGTCTCAGTTTGCTTTCTAAACAAGTGCTGAGTTTATACTTGCCGTGGACTGAATCCCACTCTAGAGCGCCAGTTGTGCAAATGAGCTATTGCCTTCGATGCCATCGGTGTTAGTTTATGAATCCTGAAAAGTGCAAAATGTGCATTGTTTATGAAAAATCCTATTGCATCATCATAATAATGACATACGGTTATTTCAAAGTTACCAGGCAAGACTGCATGAGGTAAACAACATAATACAGTTGACAATTATTCTAGTTTCAATTGGTGCAGCTGAAAAGGATGGAGTTACTGTGGGATTTCTTTCTCTTACGCACAGAAACATACAGACGTGCATATGCTCACATAAAATATTCATTCTACTGGTGTCCAAAATGGTCAGTAATATACAGATGGGTTCAAATTTGTGGTATATCGTCAGTGTATGGCCACAAAATTTTCAAACATCAGGTTGGTAATTGATGCAGTTTGATACATCTGAGGTAACAGTACGAGTATTAAAGTGTTTTGTCTACAAACCAACGCTGCAACTTTTTAAATCTCTTCATAATTTTTTAGAATCATGTTATTAAAGGATGGAGGACTAAGAATAGCCAATGTGACCAAAGTTGATGCTGGAAGCTACACGTGCCTGGCAACAAACCAGTTTGGAACAGCCAGTGGCTCAACAAACTTAATCGTTACAGGTAGGTGAGCTGGAACGGAGGGTCAGCAGTGAGGTGATGTAAACTGAATTGCAAACTCTGCAACAGAAGTCCGCAATGATGCGGAGTCGGAGTTTGCTTATTGAAAAAATACTAAATGTGGTGGACAGTAGTGTGAGAAGTTATATATTTTACAATATATAAAGATAAAATTATTTTTTTATAGATCTTTTATTAGTTGAGAGGAAAGAGACTTGAGAGATTTTCTGTCTTTGATGAAAATCTGAGATGTGAGGGAGTTCTGAACACTCCTCCCTTCTCTCACTTCTCTAAATACTAAATATAGCACTAAAAAGTACAATTATGCTTTTAAGTTTGGATTTTTTTTAATTAGTTGAGGGGAAAAGACATGGCAATCAAAACAATATTTGAGGTAATTTTATCTTCCAGTCCAAAATCTGTTTAGCCCTAAGGAACTATATGCTGTTTGCTTATGGAAGAAGATGTGGTAGAAACTCCAGCTGCAGGAGCCTTCAGGGACTCCATGGGCAATAAAATATAAAGTCTTTCAAAAGAAAATTGTATACGTAATTATTGTTGAAGGGGTTCTTCCCACTTTCTCTAAGTCAGGCATCACTATCTGCTCTCTAAGATACTGGATTAAAAGGACCATTAGTCTGTGAAGTTTATCTGAAGAATGTCTTTTCTCATGACGTTCTTTTTTAAAGATTGGAATATCTGAAAGATTTTTTCCAAACTCAGAATTATCTAATGTCCTACTGCATTACATATCCTATGTATCTCATAGATCCGAACAGAATTATTTTGTTCAGTGAATTAACAGCTTCCCATTTTCAGTCTGTGCTCCTAAATGATTCATGTCCCTTGATATACAAATAATAGAATTACATACAAAGAATTCTAGAATTAAATTTTATTTTTACAGTATTTATGGTACTTGAAATTTTTCTCCATTAATGTTATTCTAGAATAACAAGCAGCTGTTCTTAATGACACTGTTTATGTTCTTTATGATATATGGATCCAGATATCCAATGCATTCTACCCTATGTGGATTTCCTCTGGTTTCCAGATTTTATTAGCCCCTTCTCTCACTCCCACCTCTTAATCTTCCCAGTGACTGCTACTACGGCTTCCTGCTCCAAAACAAAAGCGTTATTGCAAAGAACCACACACGCTCTTGAATGGTAATTTCATTGCTGTGGGCTGCAGTGCATTTAGCTTTGTAAAGTATATTGGCCTGCTACACAGCAGGTTAAAATTTACCTTTTCAGTGTCGAGTAGCTCCCACTGGTAAATGTACAAGGACACAATGCTCCAAGAAGAGGGGTCAGGCAGCAGCATTTATAGTCCAGCTGCATCATTTGAAGTGACAGTCGTTAATCAGATTTGAAGAACGTGGTAGAATATTATTAGCCAGCAAAGCTCAGCAATACAGGAATCCAATAACTGATATTTCTGCTCTCAACAGAGCCAACAAGGATTACTTTGGCACCTTCCAACATGGATGTTGCTGTCGGAGAAAGCGTCGTCTTGCCTTGCCAGGTTCAGCATGATCCTATACTGGACATCAGCTTCACCTGGTATTTCAATGGAACGCTCACTGATTTCAAGAAAGATGCTTCTCATTTTGAGAAGGTTGGAGGGGTGAGTTGCAAACACCTTCTTTTCATTTACCTTATAGATGTATGCAGCACAGACAGGCTTACTTTTTTTCTTTTTTCAACATAGTAAAAATAGGATGTTTCTCCTCTTTTGGACCTGTAGCATTGTCTTCTGTGTTGGAGGGAAATCATTCATTGAGCTAGCTTGCTGCTCATAACCCGTTGTTCAGACGCGTTGTATTTTAGACCTGAAGTATTGTTAAGTTCCTAGCTCTGTTTCTGCTTCTGGCCTCACATGGTTTTCCCCAAGATCACATGAAAACACAGCAATGACAGAGTAAGGAACTTGACATAGACTTTGTGAACTTCAGCCAAAAACTGAACAAAGACATCCCATCTTCCCTTCTTTTTCCTGCCCTTGCATCCCTAGTGTATCCCTCAACGTTCTGCCTGAGCATCCCTGGGTGAGAAGCCATGTATCGCATTAAATATTTCCTACGCAGGATGCAGAGACGCTCCTGAGGGCGGGGACAGGGATGGGCACGGTGACATTAATGGGTTTTAGAATTTAGCCTTCTAAGCAAAGCATGAACAGTAAAGCGTTAAGACAGACGACAGATGTATCAAGAGAATGAAATCAATGACAGCAAAAGGTCTTATGACAATCCAAGCCGTGGCCAAGTGATAACAAAACAAGCAGCTGAGCATCAGCATGAAACTGGCCATTATAAGCCTTCATAAAGTTTCCTTTCACATTTTCTTGCCAGATCTCCTGCTCTAGAGGAGTAGCTGTGGGTTAGACACTACTATCTGTGAAACTGATATTTCAGCACCTAACTTTTTTCTTTTTGCCTTGTAAAACCTCAAAAGATTTAGCATTTAATCCGTGGGCACCAAACACACAGATTATTCTGCCTTTTGCAATTGATTAAATGTAAGTGCATGTGGAGATGATGAGATTTCCTTGCAGGAGCCATGAGATATTCATATATCCTGTACATTTTCACAGAAATGTTTTGAGAGTTACGAACTGACCATCTGTCATGCTGTAATGGGAATGCTCCGATTTCATAGCCCGTTACCTTCCAGTATTGCTACGTGGCCTTTATTTATTTAGTAATATTTCCGCCCAGCTGTACTCTGGTTGTATATACAGCTAGCAGTATTAGAAAGGAAAGGTTAAAAACATACCGAAACCCGAATCTGACAGTTCTGCTGGCTCAATTAAGACTTCATAATCAGATTGGAAATTGCAATATTTTTTCCTCACTAAAAATTCCAGCTTTTTCCTAAAACAAACACAGGTGTAATTCCAAATCAAAGCCTTGTTTAGTTGTCTTTTTTCTTTTTTCTTTTTTTTCCCTCTGAGGAAAAAAGCATCAAAAAGTAGTTTTTCACAAAAAATTCTCAGTCAGTGCTGAAGAAGAATCCAGAGTGAGTATTGCTTAACTCAGAACTCTGAATCTAGAACATTTTCTTGGAAATTTGTCATAAGGGACAGAATTAGGGGTTTTATGGAATACAGACATTTAGGAATTTTTTTAAACTCTTATTTATGTAAAGAGGGATTGAAGCTCATTAGTAGAAAACTTCATAGGTTATCAAGAGATCCACGAAAATATTTTACGGGCTTTGTATCACATTAAGGTCAGTAGAATAATTTGATCTGGAGTTCTAGGTGGGTCATGGTAATAAGCATAAATATGTTCTAAGCCTTCCAATAGTTGCAGTGTGTATTTCTTGAATGAAAATAACTGCAAAAATAACTTCAGCTTTCTTGGTCATAAACGTGACAAAAGGAGAATAAGTTTTCAATAGATAGAGTTCTATGTAAAGATTTCTCGGAAGTCGCCGTCACGCATGCCTGAGGTCTCTGACATGTAGCAGTTAGTGGGAATGTTATGGGACCACCACCTGGTCTTCCAGATGGTTAGAAAAATATAGGATGTAACACTGTCTTACTGCTCTTTTGTCGTCGTTGTTGTCGGATGATTTATACAGAGTATGGCAATCCAAGCAGATTCCAAACTTCTGAACAGACTGCCTCTAAACTGTTTGGGGTATCACCTCCTTACAGAGCCCAGCAACGGCCGAGGCTGTTACACAGTCAGGAGAAGCAAAAGCAATTTCGGCAGCTGTCCATAGTGCATGGACTACTCCTGATTTGTATTCTGCGTAGCGTGGAGAAGGGAAGGTGACCTTACCGTCACCTGGACTTGTCCACGCTGACAAAGATTTAAGCTGGCTAGGCAAGAATGTGGATACCGCTGGTGGTCTGCAGAGCCATGGGGGGTGAGGGTGCCTGCTGCATGGGGGCTTTTTGCTGCTGCCAGTTTCTGTGTTTTCCCCAGTACTTTGTGGATATGCAGTGTTAATATTTTAGTGGGTTTTATTTCAAGCAAAATTATTCTATTTGTCAGTCTCCTTTGTTGAGATGTTTTAAATTTAGTTTGCTAAAAGTTTGTGTAGAATATGATTTGCTTGTGAGTATGCCTTGCTGTTGTTGGTCATTCCCCCAATATCCACTTCCAGTCAAGTAGATGGATGTTAAATTGCCTTTGACTCAACTTGTAATGTATTGTAGGCAATCACTGCTGAATTGTCCTGCAAATGCTTATGTCTGTGCTTTCATAGAAGACCAGGCATTGTGTTTACACACACGGATGGGAATCCAGCAGAATTGTTTTCAGCTTGCATTGAATAAGGAAGTGAGACATCGTAATGCTGAAATAATGGGTGTGCGCGTGAAACAAAGAAAAATAATCCATTGGTTGGAAAGGTGGTTAATTTTTTGTCTGAGTGAGATAAACTCCAGAATCGTGTGTTCCCCTTTCTGCCAAAACTCCAGAATCGTGTGTTCCCCTTTCTGCCAGACCACCGTGCGCCCAAGAATCAGTAGCGTGGCCAGAGTAGCTGAAAATACCCACAAAATAGGATTCTGTCCCCAAATGAAATGCTGCTTCTCAAAAAAATTTTAAAAAAAACAACTTTTAAAAATCAAAATCTGACTGAGACATTTTTGTCCTGGAAAATACGCTGTGAACTGGGTTAAAGCAGTAATTCAGCTGACACAAAGAGAAAATGTTTTGAAGTGACACTGGCTACCAAAGGTTTGCTATCAGGTTCTCTACTCAGTGATGTAGAAAACAAATAGTATAGAAGGAGTCCTAACGTGATATGAAGTTAGAATTATCACTCAAGTTTTACGTATGTTTCCCTTGATTCCGGAGAATCAGCCACATGCTATGACATGAGAGAGATCAATGGGAAAAAAAATGACCAAAGATTAAGTATTCAATGAAGAACAAAGAGTAGAACTCTAGACTTGTGAAATGGGGAATTTAGCCCAAAAAATGTACAACCTTTAAATGCAAGTGTGCGGCAGCAACCTGTGGAATGGACCAAATTCAGCTTTGTCCTTTACACATTTGAACTCCTTAAAAATCTGTGATAACCAGACCTATAAATTCTGTCTAGAAGTCAAATTGGTTAGTGGCCATAGAAACCACGTTTTTCTCTTTCTTAGGGCTTTGAGACAAGTGGTTGGTCACAGAGCACTTCCTAATAGCAGTCAGGCAGTACGTTCCCAGTACGAGCTAACCACGTTGAAGCTCGCTTCTCCTGTAAAAGAGGAACACTACCTCATGTCTTTTAGGAAGATGCTTACAGACAATTACCATGGAGCGGCTGATGGGTAATAACTTGCTGTCCTGCAGGCTGTCTGCCAATGCAGTTTTTGAGCAACTTTATCTTCAACATTTTGGGTTTCTTTCTTTTCCATTTACAAATACAATCTTAATATTAAATTACAAAGTAGTACATTTATGTTAATAAGAACTTTGTATTTTGACAGAGTGCATCAGGAGATTTAATGATTAGAAACATCCAGCTGAAACATAGTGGAAAATATGTTTGTATGGTGAAGACAGAAGTGGATAGTGTAGCATCTGCAGCAGACCTTATCGTGCGAGGTAAATTTCAGCTTCAGTTACCGTAAATCATATTTTCTAACTTTTTTTTTACGTTGTAGCGTTCAGAAACAACTGATGTTGTAGATTACAAAACCAATTAATGATTTGAATTATGTGATAAATGACTGTGACTTGAATTATGTCATTCTGCCTTGCAGTTAGGGAGAATTATAGCTCCATTTTTGGATGAAGCCTAATTTTCCCAGAGAAATTAAGAGCTGGAGGATATAATATTGACTTCACATCTTTTCTCACTGACAGTCCTTCAAGTCACTGACGAGAGGGAACTTGCTACTGGCCGCTGTGAGCAAGTCGTGAGTTGCTGCCTCTGCAAACTGGACAGTTGGGGTTGGAGACTCCAGAATCCTTCCTGTGAAATGGGCAACTGCTGCCAGAGCCTAAGAGAGGCTTTGTCCTAGGGACACGCTGGCGTTTAAAGCATATAATGCAGGCTTATTCCTTTTCATTCAGAGCTGGAATGCTCACAGTTAAGCCAGAACTGTAGCTTTCTTTGCTGATGATACAGCTACATTTATTGCAAAAGAAAAGCTTTGATCTCGGAAAGCACATTATGTGATTAACCCTTACTCAATATATTTTAAAACATGCCAGACGTTTTCTAACTGTCGATGTCCTGTTAGTTATTTCAACTCCCTTTGCTGGTTCAGATGAGACAAAAACAAGCATTTTTGCCAGGATGCCCAGAATCAGGATTTTCCAGAAGGCAGCAGAAAGCTTGACTGACTGAATTGCTGCTCGAGGTGCTGATCAGATGTTGTGCTGAAAAATTGCTACAGTGCATGGTACAGTAAAACAGCTGTAGATAACAAATTGGCAGACTACAGAGATGTATTAGTAGATTAAAAGAGGACATCGAGGACTAAAGTAAAAGACATCGGAAAGATAGAGGGATCATGCTGAACAAAGGTTCTCTGGAAAAAAAACAAACCTTGTCATCTGTGCTGCAGCTCAGAGTATTTCAGAATTAGATTAGCAATCATCAGAGTTAAGTTTAGGGAATGTAAAACAATAATTACAAGTGTTCTTATTCCAAGCTGAATTGTTTTCTTCCTCCCACAGCGCTGATAAAATGGGAATCCATACTGCTATGTTAGTGATTTCCAGGGTAGTGGCTTTACAAAACACCATGTCTTTTTCAATCTGATTCTAGGCTCACCTGGGCCCCCTGAACATGTGAAAGTGGATGAAATAACTGATACCACGGCTCAGATCTCCTGGCAAGAAGGCACAGATAATCACAGCCCAGTAACCACTTACACCATTCAAGCAAGGACACCCTTTTCAGTTGGCTGGCAGCGAGTTACAACAGGTAAAACAGAATTCTTGTTACAGGCTCTGTTGAAATGTTTTTGACGAGGGACACTGTGTTCTTAGTTTCCTTTTTTTTTTCCTTTCTTTGTGTTTTTAATAGTTCCAGATGTGATCGATGGAAAAACATTCACAACCACAGTAGTGGATTTAAATCCTTGGGTTGAATATGAATTTCGTGTAGTTGCCAGTAACAAAATAGGAGGTGGAGAGCCTAGTTTACCCTCAGAAAAAGTAAGAACTGAAGAGGCAGGTTAGTGGGTTCTTCTATTTGTTTTTAATTCAAGAATCTTCAATATTAACAAGAAAGGAGCGGTTATATCCTTGGCTTTTTGCAAACAAGCTTGGAATTGCCATTGAATATAAAAGCCTATAACTAGTTTGTTCATGATTTTTCCATTTAGCTGTGGGACAGTTTGCGTTGCATTACTGAACATCACAGAAGCATAACATCTAAATACATTTAAACTGTATTTAGTATGCCAAAGTCTCTCAGTTCAGGCAGTGCTGCAGAGTCTGAAGGTATTAATGGATGGAAAGAGGTTAATTTTGACAGGGTTTTTCCCATTCCTAGTGTCTGATCAGTGTACAACGTCCATGGAACAAGCGTGTGGCGCAGAAGAACACATCAGTCAAAACCCCGGGAGTTTACTTGGAATAAAGCCATTGCCCAATACATCTGCATAAGTTGTTCAGCCTATTAAAAAAAAAAAATGAAGCATGCCTCCAGTTTTTAGAAGTTCATGAGCATACATGGTTCATTCTGCAAACTAGTGATGTTCTTCGAGCGCTCAGAAAAACAGCAGCCTGCCGCAGTGATGGAAAGCAGCAAAGTGATGGCAGGGCAGGGCTGGGGCTGTCCAGGAGTGCCCACCTTGCCTCAAAAGCATTGCCTGTCATTTGCAAAAGCACTATGAATATAACCGGCTTAGGTGCAGAGCATGAGGTTTAATGTTAGATGATGTCATCTGTTGTATCTACATGATGTAGACAGCTATACGTTTCCTTTTCACAGTTCCTGAAATTCCCCCATCTGAAGTCAGTGGGGGAGGAGGCAGCAGGTCTGAACTGGTCATAACATGGGATGTAAGTTTTCTGGCAAGCAATTTTCTTCAGAGAATGATTGTTTTCATTCAAACTCTTCTTAAAAGATGAATTTCCCTGGCTGAAGCAGCTTCTCATCTAGGATGTATATGTGCTCGGTAACATTCTGTAATGTGAGCTATGCACGTTCGCCTTCCCTCTTTCGCTTTCCTGTGTTGCTGTGCTAGATGGCAAGCAGTAGGAAATGCAGTTAGTTTGCCTGAGATGATTGCTTCTGTTCTCAAACAAACGTTAATGCTAAAAAGGGGGCGGGAGGGTGGGGGAAGAGGAAGGGGCATCGCTCAAAGGTTGAGCCAAAGAATTACGCTTTTTAGTGCAAATTTGCAGTTCTTGCTTTCCTATCATTAACTCTGGATGCGTGCTAGCCCATACAAACGAACAGATACAACTTTATAATGAGCTAAAAAATGGTAACGTTCTGTTACTAACATTGACCACTCTGTGTGGTTAGCTAATCATAATCCCATCGGAGGAAGGTATAAGCCACTGTACAAACGTAGTTTTGGATTCTGTAATAGTTGACCAAGCAATTACTCATTTTTTTAATGAGCTGTGGATTGTGAAATTGAAAAAAAATTGTATTTACTGAGGAGTGTCTTAAAACGGTATACTAAAAGTGGAAACCAAGGAATGTGCCTGAAAGTTGTTCACATCTTGAAGCTCAAACCTTAAAATAGGTTCAAAGGAACACGTTTTGCCCTGCCGTACCAGAGTTAATTGTTTGCTGATGGAATGATCCCAAATACAGTACCTGAACCTGGTTACAGTCACATACATTAGTCTGTCAGTACTTTCTTCCTGCAAAAATTTGCTGATGGAATGATCGCAAATACAGTACCCGAACCTGGTTACAGTCACATACGTTAGTCTGTCAGTACTTTCTTCCTGCAAAACGTGTCCAGTGCTCTGTGTAGCATCACAGACTTCTGTCGTCTGTTGCTTTTCTCACAGCCCATCCCTGAAGAATTACAAAACGGAGAAGGATTTGGCTATGTTGTTGCTTTCCGCCCCTTTGGCACCACAACATGGATACAGACCGTGGTCACCTCTCCTGACACACCAAGATATGTCTTCAGGAATGAAAGCATCTTGCCCTTTTCACCGTATGAAGTCAAAGTTGGTGTTTATAACAATAAAGGAGAAGGGCCGTTCAGTTCAGTAACCACAGTTTTTTCAGCTGAAGAAGGTATGTGATTGAGTTCTCTCCAGACTGATTGAGTTATACCTCCAGATAATTGACATGAGATGTTTCATCAGAGAATACAGCAACAGTTAATAGAAATAAGATCACTTTGAATATGGACGTGTTTATTTCCACAGTCACCAATGCTGCTGATCATCTCTTCTTTATTGATTTCTGAATACAGAGCCTAGCATAGCACCCTCCGGTGTATCTGCGACGAGTCTGTCATCCTCGGTCATCGAGGTCTCCTGGACAGCCATTCCCTGGAAGATGAGTAGTGGAAGGTTACTGGGCTACGAGGTAAGCTCATTTAAAATACACTCCCACTTGTAAAGGGCCATAAGCCAGAAGGGTGATGCAGGCTGCAGGACAGCAGCACAGATTTAACGAAAGATTACCACATTATCTTGCTTTCTTCCTGCCCCACCTACACCCAGAAGGAGGATATTTTTAGATTTTCTTCTAAGTATCTTGGAAAACAAAGAACACAGAATGAAATGGTGTTTTGCTTCCTGCACTGATAGTCTCCATCTTAACAGTATTTTCAAACTGACATTCTTTCAGAATTACATTTGTTTCCAAAGAAACTATTTTGTAAGGTACAGTTTTCTGAGTTTAACCACTTGTTTACTTTTTAGATGAAGTAATGGTTTTCCTCTTGTCATTTTTTAATTCAAGCAAGATCTAATATTTCAGTTTCCTTTTTCCTACAATCACACTAAAAAAGAGCAGGAAGCATGAAAAGCAGCTGGATAGGAAAATTTTATTTTTCTAGCCAGTAAACATATTTTTTGCAACTTTAATGTATTTCTACCTTTTTTCAGCTGAGAAAAGAAATGCACTTAAAGGAGTCAAATGCAATGCTGTGGCTGAACAGTCCATTCCATGCAAAACGTTAAACTGTTTTGTTTTGTATCTACTAGGTTAGGTACTGGAATAATGGTGAACAAGAAGACTCTTCAAACAGAGTAAAAGCTGCAGGGAATGAGACATCAATAAGAATAACAGGTTTGAAGAGCAACTTAGCATACTACACAGCTGTCCGTGCTTATAACAGTGCTGGAGCAGGTCCCTTTAGTGCCACAGTAAATGCTACCACAAAAAAGACACGTAAGTATCTTGACTTTAAAATGGGGAGAGAAATAATGGTGTGTTAGCACTTGCAGGGAAATGAAAAATAGGCGCGTTACTGGGAATCACAATATGCATGTGACCTAAATTTTCAGACAAGAGGAGTTAGTTACACAATTAAATAGAGCATAGATCTTCCATTCTCTACCCTCTGCTGCTTTAGCAGGATGAGTAAGTAAAACGCAACTATGCCAGTGGAGCTGAAGATAGATATCTAATTTCTGCATAAAACCTTTATTGTTCTTCTAGTGACTGAAAGAATTTTAAAAGAAAAGTTTCTGTTACTTGGAAGTCAAAAAACAGAGACTTGTTGAATTTTTCAGGGGTTTATAACATATTTTTAAGTTCTCTAGGGCATGGCTTTTGAAATGCAATGATCCTCATACAATTCATGCAAAACAATCCTCCATGTCCATTGTTTCCCCTTGAACAAATTGCATAAGAGGCCACTTTACTATTAAAAAGGAGAAATTAAGCTGGAGAACAGATTGTCAAAGGCTGCACTAATTTTTCCACAAATGGAAGTATTTTTAGTACGCTCTTGCATTGTAACACACCTCAGAATCAGGGTTATCAGTCTTGAAGTATTTCTGTCAGCTTCACAAGAATGCACAATTAAATCTGTCTGAAAGGTCAAATTCCCTGGAATAGTCATTAACAGCCTTCTACCAAAAGCAGTCACATCATCAATATTATGAAACAAGCTAGTTTATCAAAAATTATTATATGCAAAAACGAGTGTCACTGAGGACTAAACCAACTCAGATTCACTTATATTTGTTAGAGTTTAAATATATTATATGCATAGTTGGCCAGTTGGAAGTAACTCACTGCCTGTAGCCTGTACCTGACATGTGATGAACAGTTTTCTCCAATTACTCATCTTTGTGGCTACTGGCTGCTCACTGGAGGTTGTGCCAGCCTGGTCAGCTCAGTGATTTTTTCAGTCCTTTTTTTAGTGACCACCTGCCTTTGGGATCGGTGAATGAGAACTGGACAAGCATCTCATCCCACTGATTTGAACAGGATCTGGATCAGGCCCTGAGTCAAGATCGCTGCTATTTGGAATAATGAAAAAAAAAAAAAAATTAGCTGCATTATGTCCTTGTATCTTGCTGATTAATAAAGAGAGCAAAAACATTGCAGTACAGTATAATGTCAATCTGAAGGATTTTGCTACTAGTTGAATTGACTAAGACAAATAATTCTGTGTTCTGCTGCAGTAGAAACTGATTTATCATTCAAATGTGTGATTTTTAATCAATCCCAATTTCTACTTTAACTTGAAAATTTGTGATTGATGTGTTTTTCACCATGAAGAATTTCTGGGCACATTGCATTTACATTCACCCACATGACCTACAAGATACTTCTTAGTAACCATTAGCCACATCAAGAAACACAAATACTTAAGTTCAACTGGCAGTGTATTTCAAGATTGAAAATTCAGTCTTTGTCTTTGACCATTAAAGTACCTTTGCTTTTATATTTAAAATATTCATGTTCGTAGCCCAAAATACAAGTGCAGTTTTGTTTTATAAAGTATCGCTGTATAAAATGGCAAGTAACTGGGGAACACTTGCCTAAGTTTATAAGGCAAGATGTTACAATGATATCACATTTAGAAGGTCTTAAATTACAACCAAATGTTCTATCCATCAGTTCTCATTCGGAGAAATACTAGTGTACATGACCAACTTCAAGCACCTGAGGAGTGTCAGAGACGTCTACGTAGCTATTTGCACGCTTAGCACTGGACATGTACTTATGTGATGTGGTGCTTTGACCTATGGCAAATGAAGTTCTGCAGTTCTGAACACTGAAGATTACTGGAGATTTTGGTGTCCGAAGCAAATTGGAGCCTTCTGAATCGCTTCCATAAGTCAAGTGATAGATGGAGGCTTACAGTTTTTAGATATAATTACTCTTCATTTTTTCAGATGTCATATTAATATTTTGTTGTGGATTTAAGAGTGACTCATTTCTTTTGAAACTGAGCTTTAATATCTCAGTGTGAAAACTATTCATATGCTGTAATACTTAATTCTCAGGAGTAAAACAATTTCCTCTTGCATTTACAAAAAGTGGCTATTAGTGTGTCAGGTTATATTCTATTTAGTATATAGAACAAAGCAAATACTGAAAAAAAACCCCACAACCTGTGAGTCGTTGACTTGAGAAGAATTCTTCTAAGTCTCGCTCTTACATTTTTATGTCTGCTTCAAGAAGTATAAACAGGGGGGCTTTGCTCTGACTACTCGTGGAAAGAAGGTAGGGAGCTACCTGTATGAAAGAGTTGAAGAATAAAAGGCGGGGGGAAAAGAGAGTAAAAAACCCATAAGCACATGCATAGGAACCTTTAAAACCACTGTCAGTGTTTAATACTGGAACCTTCAGCATCAAAGTGTAGCGTGGTCCACCTAAGCAGCAGTTGCCTCCACTAGGTGACAGCAACAGTAAATTGTTTTCCTTAACACATTTAGAAAAGATTTTAATCATTGATTGTGTCACTGCATGACCCATTTTCTGGGAAACCAGCTTGAGGGACCTTAAGAGGTTTGTACTTACCTTCGCCTTCCCTGAAAGCTTGGCAGTTTCAAGATATATTAAAGCGTACAGCCAAAAGCATACTACTCCTTTTGAAAATAACAGTCTCAGATTGTTAATGAACAAAAAAAAACCCAATAGATTTACTTGGCCAAAGCCCACTATTGTTCCAACTGCAAGATATAGAGAAGGTACAGACTGCATTTCAAAATCACACCTCCAGTTAAAAGAACAACCACCAAAAAAAATCTGTCGGAAATTTTTACATTACAAACATGTTAAAGAAAATCAGCATAGTGTGTAGATTTGAATATTCACTAAATTTGTGTAACAGATAACCTGTTGTGAAGTATTTGCTTATTCTTGGCAATTTACTAAAACTAGAAACCATCACTGGTTTGATTAGAGTTTGTTCCAATTGACCACCCATGTCCTAAAACATGTGCTTTTGTCTGGCTGTATTTAATGAAGGACCATCAACAGATAACGCAACCTCAGAAGTAACACTTATGTGCCATTCTGTTATTCCTTCCTTCTGTTTTTCCAGTGTAGTCCCTGAACCATAAAGCGTACAAATGACCAGGCTGCATTTGAGTTCCTTTTGCATCTGACACGTAATGACAGGCAACTACCTGACCTGTAGTTATTTCCTACTGTAGAATAAATCACTAATGCCAATTAAATTAAGGTCATGCTTTTATTATGTATTTGAAGCACCTAGTCAACCGCCAGGAAATGTTGTGTGGAATGTCACCGACTCCAGAGTAATCCTCAGCTGGGAGGAAGTACGAGCTATGGAGAACGAGTCCGAGGTGATTGGGTACAAGGCAAGTGAGAACAGACCAGAAAAATATCTGAAAGCAATCCACAGTTTGCTTTTTCTTGTCTCTTTGCAAGGCAGTCAGTTCAGAGGACACATAATACCGCATCTAAACCATTTCAGTAGTGTCTCTTTTTTTTTATAGATTTTAAATCCTGTATCATCAGTGTCTCATAAACCGTGGTCCTCTCACCATTAATGGTACACTAAATGCCTTCTCCTCTTCATGCAAACAAAGCCAGGGCTGCAGGCATTGCTGCCAACTCTGGGGATCCCACCTATCCAGATGCATGACGTCTGGATGTCATAACATGTATAACACTTATCCAAATGTATAATATTCTGAAAGAAAGCAAAAATCCAAGATTTAGCTGATGGGTATAGTTTCCATTGCTGGCCAGGTATATTTATTAGTACCACATATATCAAACTGATATTCTTAAACCTTTTTCTTCTTACCTACTTTGGGACATGCTTATCGTCTTGATAGAAATTACATTGCTACATCTACTCTATGTCTGACCAGAACACAAATGTACAAGTATTTAACTGTCATATATCTTAAGTGTGCTTAAGAGAATAGCTGAGGATGTTCTTGATGAGCTGCATACAGCTAGATCCCACATGATATATTCCTGCATTAAAGATTTATGCTGAAGATCCGACTATGCAGTGTTCCAAGTTGTATTGGCAAGAAATACATGTTTACAGCTTAGATAAGCCACCTAGTTTCATAGACAGCAGCTGACCTAAAAACATACCGTGTGGCGTCTCAAACTGCATACTGTGTCTGCCACAACAATTTCAGGTTCCCCAGTGGATAACAAACACTGCCAAGTACACAAGGATAAGCTGAATTTTGATAAAGCTGGTTAATTTTACTGAAGTAAAGCACTTAGGGAGGGTCTTTTTTATCCCAGAAGGCAAGGGCAGTACAGTTGATAGAAGTAGGTTTGCCAGGAAGAGAAGAGCCAACAAATGACATGGAAAATGCCAGAGCAGCCGTAGCGCAGTCACTGTGGCAGCGAGCCCTGCGGCTGGGTCCCAGTCCCGCCGAGAGCGTTTTATAGCAAGGCACGGCATTAGGGAGCGTGTTTCCAGGGCAGCAGTGTACCTCTGTAATTCCAGTGGCTTTGCTTTTTTTTTTTTTTCAATTTCATCATTATTGTGCTTATTTTGGGGGAGTTGGGATTGCTGGTTTTGCAATGGGAAACTCCCAAGCTTGTGTGCTTGTCAGATTTTTGAAACTCTGCCAGGACAAACCTCTCTCTGTGCGTAGCCTCGCCACGGGCACTGGGGACCCTTCAGGCTCATCAGGCCTTCAGGACAGAAGAGAGGCTGATGTTGCCTGGTCATATAGGGCAGTGTGTAGCTCCTGTTCTTTAAAATATAGGACACCGAACGCGGTTAAGTTTTATGACAATCATCACTCAGCACTTGCAGGACATCTTCCAACATAGTCTGTAACGTTGATTAGTTCTCTCCTTCCCAAACTACATATTGGCATAAGCAGCTGATCTAGATAGTGACAGATTCCAAATGGTGGGATAATTTATAGAACAATACATTATTAAGATACTCAACAGAATATATTATTCATTTGTTATCATTATACGTTGTGCCTTTTTAGATTAAAGCTGGAATAAAAGAGCTTAAGTGATGTTACTTTCTTTCTTTAAATGTAATCCTGCCCTATAATGTTAACTAAAAATCAGATCTTTTCTCTCATCCTGTCTTTTTAAAGACTAAAACCTTGTGTCTAACACAAATAGAAATGGCAGGACAGGTCCTAGGGGACGAAATGACACGCTACAGCTGTTCGCTTGGGTTGCAGGTTTTGTACAGGACCAGCAGTCAGACCAACATGAACGTGCTGAACACGGACAAGACAACAGCAGAACTTTTGCTCCAGTTTAACGAAGATTACATCATAGAAGTAAAAGCAACAACTGATGGCGGAGATGGCGCTAGCAGTGATCAGATCCTGATTCCCAGACTAGCCAGTAGGTTGAACCTGGATCACTGTTATTTGGTCACGTACTTGTGTAGGGTCCCTGGCCAATACCAGAACCTCCTTTGTGCCGGCCACGGTAGAGAGATGTGTCTCTGCCTTGGTGTAGCGAGTATTTACTAAAATTGCAGTTGACACCCAGCAGTTGTCACAGCTTGTCTTTGCAGGAATTGAGTCCTTATCGATGGGGAGAAAAAAAGAATTAATACTTGCATGTTGTATGGTAATGAGGTAATAAAATGAAAAGTAATTAACAGTCTTCATGCTCTTACGCCTGACAAACTTCATTCTTTTGAACTGGTAAATTACCATGTAAATTGGTATTAAAAACATTAGATTTTTTTTTAAACTTTTTCTCCTTGTTTTATTATTACCTTGAAAGTAAAGACCATTTATACAGCTTGAGCGTTTTGAAAGGCATTTGTATAGTTCTCAAATATTTACTGTAATTTTTTTAATTTTCATTGCTTGTCAGAAATTAAAATGAACAGTAATTTTTGCTTAGTATCTAGGAAGAGTAATAATTTGGTACAGCGGATACTCAGGTTTTCATTTAACCCTGGCCTTTTTCATTTGTCACAGGTATGGATGCAAGAGGTTCTGGTCCATCAGTCTTGAATATCTTCAGTGTATCCAGCTTCTTACCAACAGTATTTTCCTTGACTCTTAGTTCAGTGTTGTGATGATACATTTTCATTTGCTGGGGGGAAAAAAAAAAAGAATCTGTTACTACAGAAAAGTGCTTTTTTAAAAAAACTGCAGTGGTTAATGCATGTTTTTCTTCTATCCTGACGTGTTTTTAAATTCTTTATATTTCACTGTAGGTTGAAGTAAAAAATATCATGTAAAGTTTAGCAAATCCTTTAAAAAGGAATCTAAAATGCCTTAATACTTGAACCAAAGGAGTTTACATATTACATACTTTGGATACAACATAAGAGAGAGGGAGAGCAATGGCACTATGATCTGAGTTACAAGGAAGAGCTTAGCTCAGTGAGAAACTCCATTTCTGCAGCGACACTGAATTGTTTGGGGTATGTTCTGCATTGTTATAGCATCATTCTGCTTACGAAAGATGAAATCCGAGACATGGCGTTTCAGTCAGATGATAACAGATCGACCAAGTGGCCATTCTTAAGACAGTGTCTTAATCCCGTAGGTTTGGATCAGTTTCCTTACTGCCCTTTACAGACGTTTTTCTCAATTTAGCAAGAAATCAAAGCTGGAAGTTAGTCACAGTATGGATGTTAGTTTTGCACAGTCCATGTTGGGGTGTCCAAGAGGCAGGGCTTCTACTGCTACTCTTAATAAAGGATTTCACAGCCATGGTTCAAAGAAGGCTCTCTGTACCTTTTCAAACACCCAACCTTCCTCTCCATCAATAGATTTTGAAGTCAGTTTCCTTATATCTGCACCTTATGTTTCTTAACCAGGTTCTTTATACATAACCAAATTCTCCCACCTTCGGGATCACTTTTATTGCCCTTCTCTGAACTCCTGTCAGTGTGTTTCACTAACAAAAGTGCCCAGTTGTAAGCATTCTTGAAATGCAGTTGCACATGGCCTTATGAAAAGGGATTCTTGCCACCTCCCTACCTTGTGATGTGGTGCTTCCAAATATTCAGCCCCAAATTATCTTGCTCTTTTGTCCGCTGCACTGCATTGTAAACTCATCCTTAATTCAGTGTTACATTGGTAACTCCTTCCTGCTACTCGTTAACCAATTCCAGACTATTTCACCTGGGCTCACACTCTAAGGCACCCCATTGCTGTCATATGATTCTGGTGAGTTTATGGCAATACTATAGATTATAATAAAAAATTACACAAAAACACTTCAAGCTTGCTATTACAGAGAAATCGATGCTTTCATTCATAGCAATATATTAAAGATACATTAAACTTAGTACATTTGAATTCTGCAGTTGTCAATTTAGTCAAATCAGCCTTTTAGGCACCTTTTCGAGAGCTGCCTGCATACATGGTAGAGCAAGTGTTCATGTGACATAAAGCATATCCTTTTAAAGACTTTCTGGGGTTTTTAATCTCACAGTTATTATTACAACACACAGAACTATAAAGGGAGAGAAACAGGATTAATGAAATTATGGTAGCACTGTAGAAAAAAATACCTTGATATGCATTCAAATAGCAAATTACCTTATTAGTATGACATCCAGATGAAAATATGTGCTAACTGTTGAAGTAAGCAAGCTCTGTATATACTGTACATATATAGTTATAAATGGCTAGTTGCTTTTCAATGTGGCTAACCAGTGATGTTTTCAG